TTCTCTGCAAGTAAATTTAACTGTGACCTCAGTAGACAGGCATCTAACACTAAGATTTTAGTCTTCATTTTACCTTATTTCTGACCCTCTCATGGCAAAGCAGCTGCCTGAGCTCCCCTGCGCACGGGCGGACATGAACCTCACACCCACGCACGGCTTAAGCCACCCCACACCTGGTGAATGTCATTACAGCCGGGGCAGGAAAAAGCCCAGTTACCTGCAGGCTAGCGTGGTTTTCTGTCAAGGTGCCCTGCCACGTGAGCAAATGTCACTGAATTTCAGATTTGCATTGTATTCCTCCTCAGCACACTGCACATGTGTTACCTATCCATTTCCTTGGATCAAACAGCAAGCTTGGGGAGACTTTTGAATATTTGTTTTTAACATTTCCGAGGCTCAGCTGCACTAGATCCAGCTGCTTGGTTTATGCCTTTTCTTTAATTCCAACTACACATTAAAAAGAATTATTAGACTGCATGGCACTGCTTTAGGAACTACAGCCACTGCTTTGTGAAGAGGAGACATTTATTATACTGTGGTCAAGTACCTGGTAAGTATTAGTGTAACAATAAGATGTGACCTAGGTTTACCTCCCCACAAAATACAGTCTTGTGCCTTTCTCCAATCTCCTGTCCTCTTTGCAGAACAAGAATCCAGTTTCATTTGCCAGAGGATTTTGGTCAAAACTACTGGAGGGGAACAAGTCTGAATCTCAGCTGAGGACACGGTACAAACGGCAAACCGGAAAGAGAGAGAAAACAAGACAGTTTGGTTTGTGTGACATGGGAAAGGGCACATCACATGAAACTGAGTGAGAAGAAAACACATAAAATCAAGTAATTTTAATGTGGAAGTGAAAAACAACTGGCTAAAAATTGCGTCTGATGATTGCTACCAATAACCCTGAGAATATTGTTTAGCAACAAACTGCTAATGACCACTCCCAATTTTGATCCAAAGCTATCAGTGGACAAAACAAAAATGTTAAATTCCCCGCAGTAGACAGGAGTCTTAAAGATTTCTGTAATTAAGCACAATTCTGCTGGTATTTTTCCCTGCATGAATCCAAACCCGTCAAAATTACTTTTCACTTAATTGCAGTCAAGAGGGCAGCAGCCTTTAGCCCAGACCTGAGCATCCCGTCCAAAGGGTGGGCAGCCTTCCTCCCCTTTCTTTTCCTGTGGGTCTGGGCCTCGCCAGCCTTCAATGAGAGGATGGAGGTCTCAAGATACGATTTCTTACGTGAACATCACCACCACCTTGGCAGAGGACGGAGGCGTCCATCACTGCCCTCGCTGAACAACAGGGCAGCTGTAATCCATCCCTGCCCGGTCCCCCAGCCCACAGCAGCCGGTCAGCACACCTGTACTACACGAGTATGCTCTTTCCCCCTTGCAGGCAGGCAACATGGGGGAGAAAATACAGAACAAAGAAGAAGGGTACAGCACACCAGGCTTCCTCACATCTGACAGTTTTTCTCCTCCTCCCTTCTTTTCTGATTTTCCAAGAATGAGGAGGAAGATGTTTTTCATGCTTTTATATATGTATAAATCATAAAGCATAACCCCCCCCCATATATATCTATCTCACTTTTTAATCTGATCAAATGCTGCAAGCAGCAGGATACAAAAATAGATAATGAAAACAACAACAAAACCCCTGCAGTTCTGAAACGTGCAGTTATCTGCTCCTTTCCTACTCCTCCAGCCTTAAGTATGTATTTTTATATGTAAGAAAAACAATGCAATAATAAGGAGTAAATTTCAGACATGTACACAGTTGTGCCTGCCTGCATCCAATGCTCCAAACCCACCACGTCTGGAAAATGGTTAAAGTGGAATAATATGGACACTTTGCCCGGTGGTTCACATCACCCACGACCACTCCAGATCCTCTGAACTTTGGCCAGTCGTCTCCCTCTGTTAATCTTTGAGTTGCTTAGGAAGATTTAACTGTATTATCAAAAATTCAGACTCTAGTCTGGGGCTTGGACCTTATAGCCTATAAGCTCCAAATAATAATAAAACAGCAATGCTAGTGTACTTCATGCATTTCATTTTGGATGTTCAAATGTAAGGATAATTCCTCCCCCTCAAGTCTAAGCTCACTGGCAGACTTGAGCAGCGATTGCTAGATGTGGGTACAGAGTTGGTGGGTACAATGCAGAGGTGCCCACAGGGCCCCGCTGCTACACCTCTGTCCCTGAAATAGCACGGTGCTGCATTAAAGCAATGTGCCTCTGTTTCCCACACCAGCAAGCAAGCCCAGTGCCTGTGCTGAACCAGGCAAACCACCATCCTGGTGGCGGCCACCCCTGAAACCGTTTCTCGACAAGCATTATCCTGTTCTGTAACACAGACGACTCATCCCTAATCTAATCACTACCACTAGAAGAAAAGAAAGTGTAAGTAAATGTATACATTGCATACCGCAGGATGGCATTTCTGAAGGTTGCCACTGCTAGAGTGACAATCAGAGCAAAAGACTGAACAGGTAAATATAAATCTACAAGCAGAAGAAAAGCAGGAAGGCAATGGCAAGCAGACGTGTATGCCTCAGCTTTAATAACGCTAGCAAATCTGTAACCAGAAATCTTTTAATTCTGCTGTATTTGATAGATTACAAATCCTCTCCTAAAAACTCCTAAAAGCAGCTTACATTTCAGACAAATAACTATTTTGCAGCGGATGACAAGAGACCTAAGAACGGAAACGATGGAATAATAGCTCTGTAAGTAACACAGAGTTCTTGAATGCAAGAGACAGAAAAGAAGAAATCTGTGCAATTCAAGGGCCAGTTTACAGCTGGAAATCCTATGAGACCAGTTTTGGTTAACTGTGATTTTTTTTTTAAAGGCAGTGAGCATACTTTATAAGAAAATAATTAAAAATCTTCAGGAGCAAAGTGTCTCAGGAAACAAGACACACCTCCCACTCCTGATGACTTTCTTTTTTAAAACGAACTGACATCTTCTCTATGCTGCAAAATGAGACAAAGAATTCAACTAAACCCAAAGAAATGTAGGAGTACTGCAATTAATACCCCCCAAAATGGTTGCCTTGCTTGGAGCAGGGGCATAGGGCAACAATTCGCTCCCCCTCAGTTATCTTCAAGACACATTGCTCAGCCGCAGTAGGCACGAGCAGGGCGCTCATCAGCTCGTGTCTTTCTCAAGGAGGGAGCTCGTCAGCTTTTGATTTCAGTTTGCACCTCTGGTGCCCCACGAGCAGCCGCTGGCCCTCTGCCCCGCACGTCCCCAGCGCCAGCAGACCCAGCTGCCCACTGCCATGCAGGATGCCCGCTGGAGGAGCGAGAGTGGAGTGGGCCCGCCGAGACTCGCTGCTCGTTTGGAAAACAAGTCACGTGCAAGCCGAGTTCATTTTAGGCTATTCTACAGGAGCCACCATCCAGCACGACCGTGCAGAGCGGAGCCTGCGCTGGGGAGAGCATCGCCACTCCGGGGCGAAGCAGGCCCAGCTGGGCACGGTCCTCGGTCCTCTCCGGCGCAGCCCTGGAGGAGCAAAGCAGAGCAGGCACAGCACAGGGCTGAAGGAGCTCCCAGGCAGGGGCCGGCACTGTCCCTGTAAGACAGCCTCCTGCACGTACACAGCCGCTGCCCGAGCAGCAAACAAAGCTGCAGAGAGCCTGCGCACAGCAGCCCTCTGCTCATGCCATCGCAGCACAGGTAGCGTCTGCGGGGAAAACAAGAAAACCACCGCTACCACGACATAAAAGCGGACGATAATCGTGATAAATAACGACCGAGTCATGCACTTTGACGGATCTGCATGCGGCGGGCGGGTGGGCGGGCTGGCGACCCAGCGGTGCAGCAGAAGCCCTGGAGAGGTCAAGTTCACTCCAGCACCTTCTCACTTAATACCTACAGGAGAAGTTCAAGTGCACGAGTGGGTCTCCCCCCGCCGCCCCGCATGCTCCCCCTCCGAGAGCCCGGCGCCGCACTGCAACCAGAGGCTGCATCTGCTCTGGCTGCGATGGGGGAGGCGGGCGGTTCGCTGCCTGTGGTTTATAAATAAATGCCGGGG